GGATGGGGACGTGAACATGGATGGGGACATGGTGGCGATGGGGACATGGACATGGATGGGGACATCATGGGACATGGGGACATCATGGGACATGGTGGCGATGGGGACATGGATGGAGACATCATGGGACATGGTGGGGACATGGTGGGAATGGGGATGGGGACATGGATGGGGACATGGTAGGACATGTGTGGGGACATTGTGGGATATGGGTGGAGACATGGTGGGCATGAGGATGGCGACATGGACATGGATGGGGACATCATGGGACATGGTGGGGACATGGTGGAGATGGGGACATGGATGGGGACATTGTGGCACATGGTGGGGATGGGGATGTGGACATGGATGGGGACATGGTGGGACATGGTGGGACATGGGAAGTGGTGGGGATGAGGACGGTGACATGGACATGGGTGCAGACATGGCTATGGATGGGGATATTGGGCATGAGAGGTCACACAGATGGTGACATGTGGGTTGTCACGGATGGTGACAGGTGGCCTAGGGGACACGTCCATGCCATAAGATGTCCCATGACCAAGGAGAACACATCCCCACCACCACCACCACCATGATGATACCATCCCCTTCATGCTATCGTTTATTCCCAGCTCCTCCCCGGGGTGTGACACCCGCCTGGCGGGCTGTCCCCATGTCCTGGTGACCCGTGTCCCTCAGGCCACTCCCTCCAGCGGCTCCAGCAGCAGCCAGAGCCCGTCCTCGGCGCGCAGGATCAGCTCCGGCTTGCGGCGCGGGGGCGGCCTCGCCGTGTCCCTCCGCAGCACAAAGCGGGACAGCGTCAATGCCACCACCACCTTCATCTCGGCCATGGCAAAGCTCTGCCCGATGCAGTTCCTGCCACCACATCCCCACTGTCGTTGTCACCCCACTGCCACCCCAGTGAGCCCAGCTGTCACCCCAGCCAGCCGGGGATGGGGGTGGCACCTGGGGACACTCCTGTCCCCGCCCCACCACATACCTAGGGCCAGAAGAGAAGGGGATGAAGGATGCCGGGGACCGTCCCTTGCTGTTCTCTGGGCTGAACCTCAGGGGGTTGAACACCTTGGGGTGACACCGACACTGTCACGCGGCGGGGACACAGCTGTCACCACCACGGTGACGGGGACACATCATAGGGTGGCCCTACCTCAGGCTCGGGCCAGAGGTCTGGGTTGTGGTGGGTCCCGTAGATGCTCATCAGGCAGATGACCCCTGGTGGGATGGGAATGGCCACTTGAGGGGCAGCAGGGGAGGGTGGGAGGTGACACGGGGGTGACCCTGGCCATGCCATACCCTTGGGGATGACACGGCCATCGCGCAGGGGGACATCCTGGGTGCAGCGCCGGGACACGGCGGTGACGGGAGGGTGCAGCCGCAGGCTCTCCTTGATGCACATGGTGGTGAAGGGCAGCTGGGACAGGTCCTCCCTGGGGACAAGCGGGGGTGGCACCGTGTGGGGGGTGGCACCTCCAGCCAGGTGGCCAGAGGTGGCCCCTGGGGACATCTCACCATTCAATGTCCGCAGTGTCCCGGCCGGCCAGGAGCTGCTGGACCTCCCGGCGGCAGCGCTCCTGGTGCTCAGGGTGGCCGGCCAGGTTGTAGAAGAGCCATGCCAGGCCACTGGCCGTGGTGTCGTGGCCTGTGGGGACGTTGGGTGACTGAGGGGACACTGGACTGGCCACCCGCCCCAGGTGGAACCTGGGAGCTCGTGCTCACCCTCAAACATGAAGGTGTCGGCCTCAGCCGCGATGTCCTCGTCTGACAGGGTGTGGCCATTCTCGTCCTGGGGGGGTGACATGAGCCATGGGCCACCTGGGGACACTGGTCTATGGCCAAATCCCATCCATGGCCACCATCATCTCCCCATGGCCACCACCACCCTACAGGCACCACCATCCCACTGGCCACCAGCTCTGTGGCCACCATCATCTCCCCATGGCCACCACCCTACAGGCACCACCAGCTCTGTGGCCACCATCATCTCCCCATGGCCACCACCCTATGGGCACCACCATCCCACTGGCCACCAGCTCTGTGGCCACCATTGTCACCCCATGGCCACCACCACCCTACAGGCACCACCAGCTCTGTGGCCACCATCATCTCCCCATGGCCACCACCACCCTCCTGACCACCTGCATGCCCCCATGGCCACCAGCCCGGCCCCACCTTGGCGAGCAGCAGGAGGTCGATGAAGTCCATGCCCTGTCCGCGGCGGCTGTCCAGCCAGGCCTGGTGGCCCAGGCGGGCGAGCGCGTGGCGCCGGCGCTGGACCACGTCGGCGGTGAAGGCGTGGACGGTGGCGCAGGCGCGGGCGAAGCGCCGGCCATCGGAGGAGAGCCTGTAGAGCCACCACGGGTGGAGGAGTGGCCGCAGCTGGCGCCGGACCACCAAGGAGCTCAGCTCTAGGATGGCCTGGATGTACTCACTGGGCCGCCTGCGGGGACAGCACGGGGGACACTGCGGCCACCAGCACGGCCAAGAGGGACTATGGCGGGGCCATTGGGGCCACCAGAATGGCCAAGAGGGACAATTGCAGGGCGAGGATGGCCAATGGGAACAATGGGGGCGCCAGGATGGCCAGCAGGGACAATGGCAGGGCCACCACAGCCCCCAGGATGGCCAGCAGGGACCATGGCAGTGTCACCATGGCCCCCAGGATGGCCAGCAGGGTCCATGGCAGGGCCACCAGGATTGGCCAGCGGGGACAGGTGTCACTCACTCCTGGCAGTGGCTCTCGTGGCTGAAGATGCATTTCTGGAGGGTGTCCAGGGTGAGGAGGCTCAGGGGCTGCAGCACCTCCAGCTCCACCGGCCCCACGCCAGCGGCCACCGCTGACCCCCACTTGGCCTGTGGGGATGGACCGGGTCAGGTCAGGGGACAGGGACAGGGACAGGGGACGGGGACAGGGACAGGGACAGGGACAGG